GAATCATTTTCATATCTTCACTCCTTCTTTCATGTAACGCTTGTATTTAATTTCACTAAGGGCCTGCAAAAACCATTAAATTTTGAGCAAGATCCATTGAGTGGCGTCGTAAAAAACAAAAACGCATATATTTTTGCTCGCCACTGTATATCAAAATTCAATTTTGAGGCACGAAAGAAGACAAATTAGGTCCACCGATAATGCGTGAAAGTGCGGCCGTCGGAAAGAACTACCCGAACGTTGACTGGAAGTATTGCAATGTTACTTAAAAGTATAGCATGTCAGAACCCTCATTACGATCTGGACAACTTAATGGTCGCGGCGTCTCACATCGTTAGCGTTGCTGAGCTGTTCTTGGTATCTGCGAGCTTTGCGGGATTCGTAGTCGTACTGCTTCGTCAATTGTTTGGGAACAGCGTTAATGTTGTTCGGGTCTCTGTGCCTCCATTTGGGCTTGCGAACCAAGGGCACCCTGAATTGGCAGTCCAAAAAGCAAGCACTGAAGCGTTATGCAAAGTTACTTACTCCAGGTAGGCACTGATGCCCAAGCATACTGTCAGGACGAGAACGAGGAGCTGAGTTGTCATGACGTCGACACCTGTCCAATATTTCGTGGAATTCAAACAGTTTTATTTGAAATTGTTCACCAATGGTAACCACATCAGTCACAGAAATTGTTAATCACTCATACAAGAACATGGCGAGAATGTTGCCTAGAAGAGAGTGTTTCACTAAAATATATGGAAAGAGTGTGCATGACAACGCATTGAAAGCAGACGGTGCGCGCTTGTCATCTACGATTCTACAACACCACTCCCAAAGGTGAAGAGTGCCTTCGAAGCCGAACAATTGGGAAGCGCTGCGCATCGCTCCAGATACGTAAAATCATTTGTGCACTTGGTCGGTACCCTGAATTCGGGGTCAGTCGTAGATCTGGTCGATTGTGGCACAGTGTTTTGGTAGCTGTACCACGGACACAGTCTAAGTATTATATTCACATCCATGAGAGCTGAGAGGGATAGGAGGGCTTATGTTGAATGCAGGGTAGCCGGGGACCAATAATCCGTGGACATACACATATACACGTGTAGACGGTCAGAAATGAGTGGTATGCTTGTAAAATCACTGAGACCGAAAAGCAACCCGCTTAGAGTAAAGATCATCCGACTAATTTTGAGGCCTATGATCCTTCTTCTGTTGAATTCATTGTGCCATAATCACTCACCCACGAAGGGATGATGGTCATGGTCTAAAATGGCCATCCGTAATAAAATCGCTGAGCGTACATTGTTGGAATTGTTTTTGTACACTGACCTCGAATCTATAATACTTTCCAAATTTGCCAGATTTTCTGAGCCGAGGAATGAAGCAAAATAACGCTTGTGATGCAGGCTGACGTGGAAGAGGTAGAAGGATCGGTTCCCCCTTGTGCTCGCTGCAACGTGAAAACCAAAGAAAAAAGTTGAAAAAAGTTGAAAAAAATGCCAAACCTAAAGAAGACCTCACTATCGTTACTGAAGGAATCGAGCAGTCGCTTGCCCACAAATTCCCCCCCCCCCCCCCGCCCGTACAAAGAATTGCGAGAAGTTCTTAAGGAGGTTTGGGCGCTACTTGCTAACGACTGCACATGGAGCCCACAGAACTCTTAACAGACTTTTTGCAGCAGACAGTGTGATATTCGTGTTCCGAGACGAAAATACCCTAATGGCAAATTTGTAGCCGAATAACCCGTCAGGATTCGATCCTACGACCCCTCGCCCGTGAGTCCAGACCAGTACCGCTGCTTTATTTTGCTTCATAACTGTTTCAGAAAATCCATTGGCAGTTTAGGAAAGGAATGTAGGTCCGAGATCAGCATCCGAAAACCACATCCAACAGTCTAGGTCGTATGACATATGGCTACTTCGACTCATCATCCCTTCCTGGTTAGATGAGCGGAGCCTCTAATTTGCTTTGAGCGGGGATTGGCAGTCTCAGTGATGCCGCGTACTGCGCGCGCGGTCTGCTGGTCGCCCGGGATTAACTCTAGCCCTAGCCTATCAACTCCTCCATATTTTTCGGTCAGCTAACTGATATAGCACCTATGGAGAGATACTGTTTTGTCTGCTGGCCCTCGTAAGTCATTGGGTTGCGGGCATGTCGTTTTGATATTTAATGCATTACGACTGATTATAAGTGGAAGTTGGATGCATGGCGGATCCCGAGAAGGGAATGAACGACGTGGAACACTTCCTGAGGATCACAGAATTTGTTTGAGAGACAGCGCATCTCGAAAACTGTAGTTTGCTTGAATGTATCAGGTCTGAGGTGAGAATAACTTCAGGGTCGACCAAGCCTAGAGAGCTTATCAGCAAAGGAGCAAATCGAAGATATAGTAATATTTTCTGAGAATCTAGCGCTTACCTACCTGCCCATTACAACCAAATGTCTGATATGGGCGAGCAGAGGCATTTCAGATCTTAAGCGGCCCAAATGGAATAGAGTGAAAGGCTATGAGCGGTATATTGGTGCCATAACAGGTAGAAAGAAAATAGATGAAAATTTTTGACAACTGAAAGAGTACTTGGATCGGAATGGTCGTGGTTGGTGGTTTGAGCGGGGTTATATATGGCCCACGAAATCGAGGAATTTAATAAGTCGCGAAAAGAAATTTTAATTTAAAGCTCAATCCGAGGAAATGAGCAAAACATACTCTACATATTAAAAGCTGATTCAGATGAGAGCAGTTCAAAGCACAGAATGATGATTTATTGAAACTTTGCTCAAATCTTAACTGTGTATCTCTGGAAATTTTCATGCAAAAGGTATCTCTGTTGCTTTTTCAACATAAGAGGTTTCTAGGCTAGGAAAAAAACTACCATGGAAGATGGAGATAGCTATAAGAAAGCTACAATACTGATACTAATTTTTGTTCAATCGACGGTTTGCGACGGTCGGAAACCGTCGCAAACCGTCGGCTCGCCATAACTCTTTAAAAATGGTTCGCTCGACCTGCAGTTTATACCATCTGATAGCTCTGCTCGAGATCTACAATGGCTAATTCAATTTCTGAAAGAGCTCCATCTAGGATTGCGCCATGCACTCGACCTCCATCCCGAGAAGTAATGAATATACTTTGTATGTGATGCGCATATAAGTCCTATGCAGCCTGATCATCCCACAGAAACATGGATCTCAACACCCTCAGAATACGCCACGTACCCAACCGGTCCACCATATGGTGAGATTGAATGAATGTTTTTTTTCGAATTTCACGATCTTTAATTCGTTCTAGAGCGCTAATTGGCTAACCGTGCGCTGATCAACCCATTCTTCCACTCCAAATGAGAATCTTCGAACAGTTTCCAGCAGTAGTAGTAGACCTATTATGTGACATTCCCCACTTTTAGAGGAGATGTTTTGTGGAAACCTGAGAAGCGAGGAATCTCTCCACCGGCGTAGACTACGGTTACTTGTCTGTAGGATTATGTAGAATATTTGGTCGCAGGTGAGCGTTCCTTCCGTGGTGTGGCCCCAAACATCACTGCTCGTCATGCCCTTGTGAAATGATCAGTTTTTTTGCTTGTCCAGATGGACTTTGGAACCTGAAATGTGCACCATTCGATTTCCCATGAAAAATACTATCGAATGGTGTACAACACAGGTTGCACACGAAACTTTGTTTTTTCACCTTTTTCTCCCCATTGCCGATCGTCTTCCCAGCCCTTGGCGGCCACGTGCGATTCACGTGCGCCTCGCCGACCCTCAGCCCTCAGTCGGCTGATCTCCGCATCTCTCTCAGTCGGCTACTTCATGGATTACTACTTTTCGGAAAAGGTAAACAGCCGATATTCAAGTCATCGAATTTATTTCCGTCGACATAGCCAGAGCTAATCTACTGAACTCGCAGTGATGGAAGGCTGGTTGGACTGGACGGCGTGCGGTCGATTACTCGATCCCCTGGCCGTGCGTGTGGTAAACGCCGCTTCTTGCCACTCCGTCAGCTGCATATCACCAATAATGATAAAGGATCCTACTTACTATAAAGCGTTTCGTCTGTCGTTCTGTCTGTCGTCTGTCGTCTGTCGTCTGTCGTCTGTCGTCTGTCGTTCTGTATGTCTGTCACGAAATTCCCTAGCTCCTCGGGATCCGCCTGGAGGAGACCGGGTCAAGTGTGGGATGGGTGGGCAAGGTCTCACGAAGTACAAAACACACATCAGCTAAGCGGAGCCCCGCCCACAGTGGGCGTGGCGTGCATCGAAATGAATGATTTCAGATTCAGTACCAAAACAGCCTCGAAACTGGGGAAAAAGTGGGTAAAGGTGTGCATTGGTAAGTCAGATCGAATTAGGGAGACCCACCCCCGGTGGGGGCGTTCTCAAAAAAGCAGTGCTTTATGAAAAAATTCATAACTCGGTTGGGAGAAGCCTACAGAGCAGAAAACAAATTGGTGTAGGGGAGCAATGTCTAAGGTGTTCCCAGCATACATGACGTGGGCGGAGGCCGCCCACAATGGGCGGAGCGCGCTCTGAAGTGTACAGCATTTTCTACAAGTCCTCATAATTCGGGCGGGAAGTCTTAGGGAGCCGGAAAAAGGTGGATAGAGATGGTGGAGGAGTGGAGGTCAACTGTCGGAGGCAGAGAGGTAGAGAAGTCCGAGTAGAGAGAGAGCATAGCACATCAACGTGGCGACGCAGACAAGATATCGAACGGTGGGCGGACCATGTTAAGTTTGGTGGAGTCTGTTAGAAGTCCATGGCGCCTAGGGTCCTAGTGACGCGTTTCGATGTAGAAAGGTGGCGCTACCTTTGCACTTGCGTACCAGCACTTCTAGCCATGGTAAGGGCTTCTTAAGTGGGTCTGAGCCCGAACTTTGCCTTTAACCATGAACATACAAAACACACTAGTATTGAATCTTTACTGCAATCATCTGGCTGTGAGCCGCACATATAAGATATCATGAATGAGTTCTGGAGAAAAATTTAATAATTTACAGTAACACTGACATGGTTTCGGTATTGTTATCCTTTGGGCAGGAACGTGTCAAGTAGTCCAAACAATGACGCAACATTTGGGCCTCCGCGGCTTCTCCTGTAACGTAAACTTTCACAATCTTTCCAGTTATCGCCAAATCCGCCAAGTACAGGATAGCCTGGCTGCTCATCAGGGTGTAAACAGAAGTATAAGGTGAAAAAATAAAAAAGACCACTAATAAGGCTCGATTTATGGGTCTCCTCCACAGTCAACGAGTCCTAGGTTTCCTGTACGACGGGATACCGCCCAGCGCTGAGCGGAATAAAAATCTGCAGTTGCACTCTCTCTGCTATAGGAGGAGGAAACTTGACCTCATACTATTCCATAAGATTCTCAATGGCAAGTCCGGTCTCAATCCTGACCAGTTCTGCGTTCTGCGGCAAACGGTTACCAGGGGTGGCCCCATGAAACGTCTAATTCCACGAGCTAGGCACAATTTGAGATTTCGTTTTTTTATACTTAGAGCTGGGACAGACTACTTCAAACTGAATAGAATTAAAGCTTTCCCTATTGGTGTCGACTCCTTCAAGAACATCATAGACAAGTACTTGGTTCCGTAGAGCCTGCCCTAATTGCTGTTGTTGTAGTTTTTTTTTGCGGTTATTCTTGCGATTGAAGTTGTGAGTTTCGTGGTGCTGTTTGTTCGCCTTTTTTTTATACTTTTTTTTCACTCCACATGAGGGGATCCTCATGTAATAAAATATAATCAGCGTACCCAGTGCCTGTAGTTGATTTCAGCGTTATTTAATAACAGCCAGTCTGCGAAAAATCTCAGTATACTTTTCAACATCAATTTCCACTTATACATAGTGTTGAGAATGTATTGCAGACTCTAATCGTTTTTGCTTACTTTAGATGGCAACCAAAGAAGTCATTCTTTTTCTCTGTAGAAGGTGTATGCCCTTCCATGTGCAATACTGTAGAGGCAGGATGCAGTGCGATGGAATGGTTATGGAGACGAGAGAAATCATCATCAGTGCCACTAAGTTAAAGGCAAGCTTCGGGGTACAATAGGTGTGGGAGATCGTCCAGTGTTGAAATTGGAGGTGTAGAGTGGTCTGGGAAAGAAAAAGGAAGCAAGAGAAACCCCGATTACGCCCCGAATAAGGAACCCCTCTATTTCAGCCGCATTCCACCTTGATAGAGAAGGGCGTGTTGGACGAGTTTCACGAGCCCAGCTGCTTGCTCCAGAACCACTGACATTGAGCCGCAATGCAATCGCTGCCGCAATAGCGTCACATGGCAGCCGACCGAGGAAGGCGGAGATTGCGGACGAAGGCGTGAGTTGCGAGTCGAACTTTGCCTCACACTTTAAAGCCGCAAAAGGGTCAAGACGTCTACGCTTGTCCGCCTGTCTACTGCGCTCGGGGATGGAACAGGTGAGCGCGCCTAATCCATGAGCGTGCCTTTAGGGTTAGTCTAAGACATTTCTGTTGTAAAGAGATTGGCCCCAATTTACGGTGGCTTTATTTTCTACTGGAAAGTCCGCTTCAACCTCAGCCGAACCCCTTTGACCAACAGCCCCTAAAGTACACCACTGGTAGTTTCATTTAGCCATTAAAATTCAAGCATTCATTGATTCTCTGGTTTCCCCTTACACGCGCCACACTCTTGTTAGAAGCCTTCTCTGATGTAGAGCAGCTGGATTGAAGAGGAAAGTTAGAGAAATCAACCCAGCGGAGGTGTCTAAGTGACGTGAAATTTGCTCCTGATAAGCTGCGTACGCCTTTGAGAGTGGCATTCGCAATTTGTGTCTCTTTTTAGCTTGCAATTCGCAACTGTTCATCCCATTTTGAACGACCACGGCGACGTAGGGTCTATCTCTTATTAGATAGTCTCATTTTTGTCCCTAGAGTATAAGAGATCAGAAGTCGAGAAGGGGGATCATACCGAGTGGAAAGGCAGACGGATGGAGGAAAGGGCAAGAAACGACGCGTGTATCGCCGCAAAGGGCAGGCGCCCGCCAGCCAAGCAGGGCTGTACTAGCGCTGCTAACGCCACTGCACGCCCAACGATGGCTAACCCCTCGCCGTCTGACTCTAGCCGCTCGAGCTGAGAGAGCGATGAGGTCTACACCGATGAGACACGCCTGATGCGTAAATCAACGGGCAATTTCCATTCATCAAAGTCTGGGACGTTTTTCTCAATTTCTTTACCCCTGCATCACTGACCACCTCTACCTTAAATTTTAATGGGCCGTGTTTCTATCGTACAGTCCGACTTTGAGCCAGAGTTTGAATGTTGTTCCCGGCAGACGCGGCAAACCAGCTTCTTTTGCGGTATGTAGCCAACTGTGCTCCTTGTCATATAAGCAAGATGGTGATGTGGTAGCTGTGCCGAAGAGCACCGTTTTGTAACTTTTGCGAGACATGGTTCTCCCATTTTGCAAGGCTTCCTACGCTCCAGCCCAAACTGCTAATGCATTTATGCAACTGAAATTTCGTGGCTACATGTTCGGAACTGAATACCTCCTATAACAAAACAGAAACGTATCACATACCCGAGCACTTGAGGAAGTTTCTTCAGTATGATCGATTCGAATGTGTTGTCAATGCCCACTTCGTTGGCTCCAAAAAGGCCGGTTAGACCGTCATCCCCTTTCCAAGCAGCCGATGGAGGAGGTGGAATGGATTCAGAATCTGCACGCTATTAGTAGTCATTCTTCACAATTTCACACCAAAGGAACCTCACCTAAGATATATCGTAGGGTAAAATTTGACGGAGCAGTTTTTGAAACGCTGGACACAATCACTTGATTCCCATCCGAAACTGTTCTGCCAGCAGCAGGATTGCAGCACTGCCTAAAAGTCCATATAAATTATTGAGTCAGTCCATAATTAGTCCATATAATTTAACTTGATCATTAACGAATTTTTATTATAGGTTATTGCAGTTCATAGCATAAGCAAAACGACTGCTTGAATAAAAGGCAAAGTTCGGGATCAGACCAACTTAGTGAGCCTTTATACTGTGGCTAGAAGCGCTAGATACGCAAGTGCAGAGGTCGCGTCACTTCCCTACTTCGAAAAGCGTTACTTATTTAGACGCTAGGCGCTAAGAACTTTGACACGCTCCACCTGTTGCGACACGCTCCGCCCACCGCTCGATATCTTGTCTGCGTCGCAATGTTGATCTGCTATGCTCTCTCTACTCGGACTTCTCTACCGCTCTCCGCGCTCACATTATCTCTCATCTCCCTGCCGGCCTTTTGAACTTAGAGCAAAAGGCTCGTATTTCCTGTGTATTTCACGATTTTTTTCCTTTTTTCTCCACTGGCGGTCCACCTCCTACCCCTACTTTCACATTTGAGTGGAATACCTCATCAATTTAATCCTGAATCTTGCCTTCGAGTCAAAAGTCGACACTTGACTAATTCAATTCGCAGAGGGCTCCTGCTTCCCAATCCAAGGCCATAAGCCAGGGAGTAATGAAGCTTTGCTGTGACTTCAGACCTCCAACCTCTTGTACAAACCAAATATCGCAACCGCTTTTCGCCAATTTCCTTGTCATATTACTGGAACTTCGCGAAATTCAAGAAGAAACCGCATACTTCTAAGAAAATCTCCACCACAGACAGCCGTAATCGTTCTCGAGCTGCCCGAAATCACTTCGATGTTTACAACAATGGACATCTTACCGCCTGCTTCTGAACTTACTGTCGCTACCATTATCTCCTGTCGAACATGTCTCCATCGAAAGCCCGCATCTACAGCAAAGCTGCGATTTTTCCAAAAACTAACCGTTCGAAACTGACAGTCACTGAGAACACTAGACCACTGTCGGGATCGTGGACTAACGAGGGAACGCGTATCCTGGACTGTGTGTCGGTTGCGACAACAACGGTCCTCTCAGCATCATACGGATTGAACGCATAATCTCTCGTGAAAATTTAACATTCCGAAAGTTCGAGTAGGCGGATGAAAGCGGCGACACTAAAAACTATGAGCTACTGGAATTCAAGGTAGCGATGGTCAGCGATGCAGGGAGAAGTAGAAATCAAGAAAAACAACCTAATCTCTAGCCGCCGATTTGCGTGTCGAACGTGGCTCGTCAGCGCATCCCTCTTCAACGCTAAGGCTTTTTCTGCTGAACAGCTAGCATGACACGGCGCGAAAGTGGGCGTGCCACGGCGATCCGGCGCGAGGACGGCCGTGTTGAACCACTGCGGACATACCTTTACTTGAATTGCGTATTAGTGCAACCCTCAAAGGGCCACCGTGACTTTCCCCTATCTCTCCACAGACCGCTCCGATCTCTGGGTGCGAAGGATCATCAAGCTGATTTCAATTCTGCAGCCGTTTTGACTTGCACTGCAATCGCAGTTAATTTTCGTATTGTTCCGCTTGCTTGTTTATGCTTGTGTTTATTGAGATACTCGTTTTCGATATTCACATTATTACATAGTTTCAGCCAAGCCTGTATATCTTGAATGTTTTCCAAATTCCTACCGAAATCCAGTCTGTTCCAATTTTTTCGCGTGCTTAATCTCCAAATAATTTTCGGAACATGACGAGTCACAGACAAAATTGGTGGATACTGTTTCGAAGCTGATGCGACCACCTGGTGGTGCCTAAAATATAATTTCAACTTCCTGAAAGAAGTGGTTGAGCCAATGAGTGAAAAGAATAACAGCGAACATATATTCTCCAGTGGCAAATCCCAGTCAGAGAGTTTTGGAGCACTTTCCACACAGGTTCTGCCAGCAGTTCTCCTCCACAGCCACCTGAACACATTTCTTAGAGAACAGGTACCATGAATGTTAAGCTGATACAAATAGGACCCACGTGTGGAATCAGCAACTCGTTCGCAACGAGCTCCACCAAGCCCGGACGGGCATTTACATCTGGTGCAGTCTCGAGGATCTTCATAGCCCCCATTTTCACACCATAATTTCGTACGACAGACATCTTAACTTCAATATAAATCAATCCATGTATGTATATTGTCCTTGCCTTGGTGTACACTTCAAACATTTCAAGAAACACAGCTTAGTTGCCTTCAAACATATGCAACCACATTCTTTTCTGATCTGAAGCAACCATAGTGGCCCCCCTATTCAGTAACACACTTAATAAATTGATTTCAATGCTACCTCTGACCCACTGAGGCAGGGATAGCCGAGTGGTTAAGAGGTTAGACTCATGTCTGCACCTCTGAAAAACCGCGAGTTCGATCCCTGCCGAGGCTCTAAACCATGCCTTGCAAAAATTGCAAAAATGGTTCTAGTACCAGCGTCAGGCCCAGGTTGACAGGCCGGCTGATGAACACCCCAGTCAAACATGTCTAAAAGTCGCAAAAGAATCAGTGATAAAGCTAGGACGTCACCCGGAAGTGGCGCGCAGAACCCCCGCCCGAGTTCTGTGGTCAGTATGCGAGGGCTACCGAGGAGTGAACGGCCTCGGCCAAAGAAGCTAGTTCGAATTGGGACTCTGAACGTAGGATCGCTAACTGGGAAGTCCCGAGAGGTTGCTGATCTGATGACGCGCAGGAATATCCAAGTCCTATGCCTTCAGGAGACGCGATGGAAAGGTGCTAAGGCCAGGGAAATCGGGGAAGGTGTCAAGCTCTACTACAATGGAGAAGACACCAAGCGGAACGGTGTGGCCATAGCGGTAGCGGAGTCGCTCAAGGACTATGTCTCCGCTGTGAACAGGATCAGCGATCGGATCATGGCTGTGAGGATAGACACGAAGGAGGGGTACTGGACCATACTCTCCGTGTACGCACCGCAAGCCGGTGCCCCGAAAGTGATAAGGACGAGTTCTATCTGAGCCTGGACGAAGCCATAAGATCGGTTCCGGAAGGCGATTACCTGACCATAGCAGGTGATCTGAATGGTCACGTCGGCAGTGACAGAAGAGGCCTAGAAAGGGTGCACGGAGGTAGAGGAATAGGAGTGAGGAACGCTGAGGGAGAGAGGGTTCCTGGACCTGGCTACGGCCCACGATCTGGCAATCTGCAGCACGTTCTTCGCGAAAAGGGAGACTCAGAAGGTAACCTACAGCAGTGGAGGGAGACAGACGGAAATCGACCATGTGCTGGTAAGAAGATCATCCCTCAAAACTGTGAAGGATATCAAGGTACTCCCTGGCGAAGACTGGCTCCCAGCACAGGCCCCTCCTGGCAGACATTGCCATAGACCTCCCCAAGAAGACAAGGGTAAGAACCGAGAGGAGAATCCGGTGGTGGAAGCTGCACCAAGCGGAGAAGGATGACCTCAGGCGAAGATAATGGAAGTCGGTCTCCCAGATCCTAACGGGCCAGTACAGCAGACTTGGGGCAACGCGGCTGAGACCATCCTGCGATGTGCCAAGGAGGTCCTGGGCGAGACGCGAGGTGGATTCAGAGGAGACAAGGCAGCGTGGTTCT